CTATTTTATTTACAATTAAGTATACTGAATCATGAAGACATATCTAATATACTGGTGTGACTTGTACATGTATTCCTTTATGTATAAAAATTTAAATGGAAGGTGAAAAGAAGCCAGAGCCATTTATTGAGAAGAGGAATAATTTTGCTGACCTTCAGAAAGTGAGGAACACGAAATTATCATCACTACTGCCCAGACCTAAAGCACGAGTATCACTGAAGAGTAGAGGTTTGTCAACAATTCTACCATTAAACTTGGATATCTTCAACACAGATACAGTCATCCCTCATTATCTAGAACTCAATAGGCCTGTAAAAAAAACTGAGAGATATCCTACTGGTTTAAGATATTGACATGATTGAGTGTAAATACTTGAAGAACGAGATGCAAACTTGTCGAAATGTTTAAATCACTGTCATTTAATCTGACAAAGTCCAAGGTTTTGTCGGACTGTTCAGTGTTTTGTCAGTCCAGATTCATATACCTTATTTTGACGCTCTGAATGTCATATGATTAACAGCACCAAAATGCCCTGGATTATTTTCAAAAGCCTTGAATATTACAAGTTTCTTTCCTTGGGATAGAAGGCCTTTAATAAAAGACATAAATGACATGTTTTATGACTTTGCTATAACAAATTTAATTGGCTATTGTCAAGACGAATGTGGCTATTTTTTCTGTGTCTTTGACCATCAGCTGCGCATTCCAATCCAGACCTTTTAAGTTTTTTAAATTTGCATCACACTCAATTTTTTCAAACAGTCATATGGACTAACATTTTCTTAAAAGTTATCACTCCAGACAAATTTTTACCAGCCTTGCCGACAGAACCGACGGATTTCGACAAGTCTGAAGATGTATTTTTGAAATATTACTGATGCCCCCATTTGATAGTTTTTGGCAAAGATTTAAGTTTCTCAAATGCAAGCCAAATTCCAATACTTGCAAAAGTGGTTCAAAGCCAAAGATCAGAATCAAGAGGTCAATATGTAGGCACCCAAAGAATGGTCTTGTCTCAAGGAGTACTCATGGGAAATATGATTTTTCAAAGTCATGGTTCCAACAAGTTAGAAGTTATGGCAAGGTTAAAGTTCTTGTGGACAAAGGGAAGGACAGAGTAATTTAACATCTGTAAACATACCTTTTTTTGTCCCACAAGGTCATAAATTCTGTGGAATCTTTATTTCTGTTCACTCTGCTGTGACATTGACATATTAAGACTCATTATATGCCTTGTGTATTTATGCTGGATGGGACAAAATTTCAAGGAAAGTTTGTGACTGCATACAAAGCGTAACTTAATACCGCTCGGAAAAAATTACTTCTACAGTATACTATATCCCCAAATCTTTGATAACAAGGTCAAAGAAAGAGCTGAAGACTAAATAGCTTTGAAATATTCATGGTTTTCAAAACATAGGTGTGTGAGATAATGGAGTCAGTTCTTATCGATCTTTAATACCATTATAATCTCAAAGTCAGTAGGACGTCGTATATACTTTCTCTTTGAGTATTTTAACCTCAGAATCTTATATGCCCCAAAAGATCAAAGCTTTCTTGGTCCCATTAAGTTTGAAATAATGAGGATTGACTGTGTATGGATACTTGAGATGTAGATGAGTAGGATGAAGGAAAGATCAAGATAATATTTCAAATGTTGAAGAAATTGCAGATTTTGATTACTTTGTTATATGTGCCTTTAACTAGAAAATTAAGAGTAAAAAACCTGAAAAGGTTCAAATGTTTAATCAGATAGAATAAACATTAATTTTTGCAGAAAACTCACCAGAAATAATCCGTGTAACTTTGACCAAGGAGGTCAAAGGAAACAAGGGAGGAAAGGGGATTAAGCATAAAGCTACAGGTAAGTCAGAGTAAGGTGTGAATAAACAAGTCAATCAATCAATTTAAATCTAAAGGTAAGTGGGAGTAAGGTGTAAATCTACAGGTAAGTCATAGTAAGATGGTAAGTCAGAGTAAGGTAAAATCTACAGGTAAGTCAGAGTAAGGTGTGAATAAACAAGTCAATCAGAATCAATTTAAATCTACAGGTAAGTGGGAGTAAGGTGTAAATCTACAGGTAAGTGGGAGTAAGGTGTAAATCTACAGGTAAGTGGGAGTAAGGTGTAAATCTACAGGTAAATGGGAGTAAGGTGTAAATCTACAGGTAAGTCAGAGTAAGGTGTAAATCTACAGGTAAGTCATAGTAAGGTGTGAGTAAGCAGTTCAATCAGAATCAAATGTAAATCTATAGGTCAGACAGAATCAGTGTAGATCTACAGGTAAGTCATAGTAAGGTGTGAGTAAACCAATTAGAATCAAATGTAAATCTACAGGTAAGTAGGAGTAAGGTGTGAGTGAACAATTCAATTAGAATCAAATGTAAATCTACAGGTAAGTAGTACAGTGGAACCATTAAGTACGAACACGGATATAGCAAGTTCACGGATATAGCGAAGTTATCTTGGATCCTCAGCTATGTGAATTTAACATTTTCCTTATACTGATATAATGAATTATGGATATAGCGAATTAATTTTATAGGTCTCAGTGACTTCGCTATAACCGAGTTTTACTGTTGTAAGGTGTAAATCTACAGGTAAGTCGGAGTTAGTTGTAAATCTACAGGTAAGTCGGAGTAAGGTGTAAATAAACAAGTCAATCAAAATCAATGTAAATCTACAGGTAAGTTAGAATCAGTGTAAATCTACAGGTAAGTCAAAATCTGTCTAAATCTTCAGGTCAGTCAGAGTGTTAAACTGAAAGTGTAAATTTTCTGGTATTATATTAAAAACATGCAAGTATCAATAGAGAGATGTAAAATTTGTGTTTTCTGCTGTTAGAACAATGTAGAAAGCTGAATGGTTCTTATTGTATGGTCTTAAGCTGATACTGAATTAACATTCAAATAAACTTACATGTACTTAGTCTTTGAAGATATGTAAGATGTAGTGATTTTCCCTGTCTTGAAATAAGTAGGAACAGTTGGGAAACTGTTTGCTTTGTCTATCTCAATTGTCAACTATAAGATAGTGGTATTTAAAATATGTCTATATATAATGAACATACTTAAGATAGTTTTCTTTTATGTTGGAATCATGATCAAAAATTGAGTTGGTCCATATTCTGTGGGTAAATTTCTGTAATTAAAAAAACTTTATTAGATTTTGTTTAAATGTGAATGTTTTTGTTTCTTTAAGATGTCAGAAGCAGCATTCCAACAAAGAAAGCTAAATCATTCCTTCAGAAAATCAAGAAGAGAGTCGTCCAGCCAAATAAACGTAAGAGACAGCAATTTGATTTTACACATCCTCTAAAGTTGACTAGAGTCACTCCAGTTCATTAAGTCAAGATCCAATCTGTTTAACTGGGGCCACTCCAGTCTGTGTGGTCATACATATTGGACAGGGAGTGGTATATTATAAATTTCACATGAAGTTGAGTCGAACATTGAATATTTACATTTATTACATTTTTACCTGTGAAATACTGTAATTTATTCATTGAATAAAAATGATATCCTGTCACAGTGTGAAAGGATATCAAAATGATATCCTGTCACAGTGTGACGAATATCAGAAGTGCGGGAAAACTCTTGATTTCCCTTCCCATAACGAAGATTGCTGTAAAAAAAATCTTCCTTGACCTAATATCAGATAGATGGAAATAAACAAACCATTCTGACAGCGAATAAAACTGTCAAAATCACCAAAAATATGTTGCTAAATCCATGTTTACAGTGTTTTCGCTTCACTTAGCTATGACGTCTCGACCGCTCAACTATGACGTCACGAGCCTATGACTGTATTACAAAAAGACAGAGGCAAAGGAAAAATCAAAGAATTTTTTAAAAAATGTAATAAACAGAAAATTCAATGTTTTTTAGTTGAATATGGAATTTATTTCACTCGTGAGACAGGATTTCTGATATTTTCACTCGTGCTTTGCACTCGTGAAAATATCAAAAATCCTGTCCCACTCGTGAAATAAATTCCATATTCAACTATAAAACATCGAATATCCTCTATTTATGTTTTGCAAATGTTCTCTATATAACAGTATTGAAAGCAATGCATATCTATAACATTCCTCTCAACATAAACATTCTACATAATTTCTACGTAAAAGTCATAATTTGACAAATATAAAATATGAACACATCACAAATGTAAATATAAGTAATGCGAGGGCTGTCTGGTAAAATCATGGTATGCAACTGCATCAACATTTTTTACCTTGACCTTTCTTTTGACCTTGACCTCACTTTTCTTAAATCAGTGTCAAACTTCATATGCTGATGCATACTGATGTAAGCATTCAGCTGTTTTAACATTTTAACCTTGACCTTTCTTTTGACCTTGACCTCACTTTTATCAAATTGTTTTTAAGTCAGTTTTAAAGAATATTTTTTTTAACTTCATATGCTGAAAGATACTGTTGAGAGCTTTTCAACAGCATCAGCAGTTTTTGACCTTGGCATTTCCTTTGACCTTGATCTCATTTTAATGAAATTAGTGTCAAACGTCATATTCTGATACAAACTTATGTAAGCAATTCAACTTCATCACTATTCAAGATGTTCTGCTCAAATTTCATACACTAGTTCAAATTTTCATGTTGCATTACTAATATACCCTCGGCGGGGCATTCATGTCCTATGGACATATTTCTAGTTTATTTATGCATATATCTATTTGAAATTTGCTCTGTATATTCATTACATGTACTAAAGAGTAGAGAAAATTTCAGAATGCAGTGATGATTATTTTTCAAACTAGACAACTTTTCCATGATTTTACTGGACAACCCTCGTACATCTATAAAAATGTAAAACATCTATCGGGCTACAAATATGGGTTGGTACAAGATCAAATTCATCATAAATCCCTTCAGGCTTTATGAAATTTGATCTCATGACCACCCTTATTTAAATCCTGATAGATGTTTAAAAATGAAACATTGTTTCTGAAATATTTTCACCTCAAGAAAACCATTGTCAACTGAGGTGCAGCACAATATTTATAATCTGAGGTAAACCATTGTCAACTGAAGCTCAGCTTAATTTGTATAATCTGAGGCATGTAGTTTACAGGGAAGTTTATCTATGATGTAATTTGTATAATCAAAAGCGTGTTTTTTACAGGGAGGTTTATCTATGATGTAATTTGTATAATCAAAGGGGTGTTGTTTACAGGGAAGTTTATCTATGACATAATTTGTATAATGTGAGGCGTGTTGTTTACAGGAAAATTTATCTATGATGTAATTTGTATAATGTGAGGCTTATTGTTTATAGGGAAGTTTATCGATGACATAATTTGTATAATGTGAGGCATGTTGTTTACAGGAAAATTTATCTGTGGTGTAATTTGTATAATCTGAGGCCTGTTGTTTACAGGGAAGTTTATCTATGACATAATTTGTATAATGTGAGGCGTGCTGTTTACAGGGAAGTTTATCTATGGCGTAATTTGTATAATCTGAGGCCTGTTGTTTACAGGGAAGTTTATCTATGACATAATTTGTATAATGTGAGGCCTGTTCTTTACAGCGAAGTTTATCTATGGCATAATTTGTATAATCTGAGGCCTGTTGTTTACAGGGAAGTTTATCTATGACATAATTTGTATAATGTGAGGCCTGTTGTTTACAGGGAAGTTTATCTATGGCATAATTTGTATAATCTAATGCCTGTTGTTTACAGGGAAGTTTATCTATGATGATGTGGATGAGGAGGCCTATAGTAAGAAGCTGTCCCAGCGAGTGTCCTGGACCTCCTATGAAGACAGCCTGGTAAGAAACTCCCTGAGATGTGTAGACTCTCGCTGACAAACTGATTAAACCAGTGGTCCTTTTTCACAAGATATTTTATGATTATTCAGTAGGATAAAAAAATTACCAATTCTTGAAAAATTTTCTAAGCTAAAGTTAAGTCATCAAAAATATATTTCTATTAATGAAAAATATATTTGATTGTTTTAATTTTGTCTGGAGAAACATGAAGCAAACAAAATGAAAAAGGTATTACTGTTGTGAATTTTATTTACCTTTATCTTATTAAGCATAAGATTCTTTGTGAGAAGGGCTACATGTCTGCTATCTGCACTTCTTTTGATTTTTTTACCTTTCAATAGAGCAGTGGGACATTAAACCCTGTTCATCTATCGTCTGGTTTGTCTTAGAAACTAACACCTTGTTCTTAGCTATTGAATGAGAGAAGATAAGGTTTTTTTTATGTACATGTAGTACATTACTTGTGAGTGTGACAAAATCTAAATGTTTTGTTTTTGATGAGTGTTTAAATCAAATTGACAGTAAATTGTTGCAAATTGAATCTGAACCAAGATCACAAGAAGAAATAACTAGACCTTGGAGAGGTCAATAAGGAATCTACAGTATCTGTGACAAAACCTTTCATTAAGTGCCTTGATTTTTGTTATTTAAGCTGCTGACTAGTAAAATCGCGACCATGGTGATGGACAGGAAGAGGCGGGGCGTGTTGATCCCCTGGAGCTGCATACGTGATATTTTGTATGAGTATGCACCAAAGGTGAGATATTAAATACGTGATTATGCACCTTAGGTGAGATAATATGAGATATTTTATATGAATGTGCACCTAAGTGAGATAAATATGAGATATTTTTATGAGTATGCACCTAAGGTGAGATATTAAATATGAGATATTTTGTATAAGTATGCACCCAATGTGAGATAAATATGAGATATTTTATATGAGTGTGCACCTAGGGTGAGATAAATATGAGATATTTTATATGAGTGTGCACCTAAGGTGATAAATATGAGATATTTTGTATGAGTATGCACTGAAGATAAGATAAATATGAGATATTTTGTATGAGTATGCACTGAAGATAAGATAAATATGAGATATTTTGTATGAGTATGCACCAAAGCTGAGATACATAAAATTTATGAAGTGATGCAACAAATATTCCCTGCTTATGGTTGAATTAATCTCGTGACTGTTACGGAACATAGGCCTTTTGATTTACAATGTAGTTGCCTTGATAGGATAGTGTTTTTAGCTCACCTGAGCTGAAAGCTCAAGTGAGCTTTTCTGATCACATTTTGTCCGTCCATCTGTCTGTCTAGCTGTCTGTCCGTCTGTAAACTTTTCACATTTTCGACTTCTTCTCCAGAACCCCTGGGCCAATTTCAACCAAACTTTGCACAAAGTATCCTTAGGTAAAGGGGATTCAAGTTTGTTTAAATGAAGGGCCAATCTCCCAATTTAAGGGGAGATAATTGGGAATTAGTAAAGATTTAGTGGCATGTTTTAAAAATCTTCTTCTCAAGAACCACTTTGGCTGGAAAGATGAAACTTACTGGGAATCTTCCTTAGGTAGTGTAGATTCAAATTTGTTCAAATCATGACCCCCGAGGGTAGGGCTGGGCCACGAGGGACGATCAAAGTTTTACATAGAAATATATAGGAAAAATCTTTAAAAATCTTCTACTCAAGAACAACAAAGCCATGATTGTTCATACTTATATGGAAGCATCCTTAGGTAGCGTAGATTCAAGTTTGTTCAAATCATGACCCCCGGGGGTAGGGCGGGGCCACAAGGAACGTTGTAAGTTTAACATTGTAATATACAGGAAAAATGAAATTTTTTTCATGGACACAGCAAAGCCATGGTTAATCCTATTTACAATGAAGTATTCTCAGGTAGTGTAGATTATTTTTGTTACAGTCATCATGGTCCATTAGCCACAGTGCTCAGTCGAGCGATGTGGCCCATGGGCTTCTCGTTTGTTACTCTTACATTTGCCAATATTCTTCCAGGAGTCTGTGGATAAGACATCCTGTGCGTGTCAGCGGAGAGTCACCCACTCACTGAAGAATCCCTCCACAAAACAAAACCTCATGACCTACTTATCAGAGGCCATGCAGGATCCGGTAAGGTCTCAAAACAGGGCAATTCATAAATATCATTTATCCACATTTTGATATATTCAAGTGTTATTATTGTTTTTGGTTTTATGAATAAATTTACATCCTGCATTAAAACATAGCTATTTTATTCAAAACAATATCACTGCAAAATATTATTTGCCAGAAACTTTTTTTAATATCATTTTGCAAACTTTTTGAGACTTGATTGTATTAGTTTTTAACTCACCTGAGATGGAAGCTCAAGTTTTCTGATTAGTTGTTGTTTGGCATCCATCCGTCTTTAAACTTCTCACATTTTCAACCTACTCAAGAAACTCAGGACAAAATTTAACAAAATCAATTGAAGAGCCAACCCTCTTTCAAAGGAAGCATTTAAGTGAAGTGATTTATAAAAAAGCATAAACTGCTTCAACTCACGTTATACCAGTATAACTTGGGTAGCTATTTAATTAAAAAATTCATTCCTTATGATTTAATTTTCAGTCATTAAGTATAGAAAATAAAACAATTTCTCCCTCAAAATGCCTTAAAGTTGTTCATATTTTAAATATATTATCTTGATTGAAGTAAATTAATACATTTTTGATGTAAGTCAATCTGACGTAGGCAACCCAGGTTATACAATACAGATTTATTTTCTATCCAATCAAACGACGCTTTACAACCAAAATGTAATTATTAAGTTATAAATCACTTGATTTTCTCAGTTTGTAAGGAAGTTCTCTGAGAAGCAATATCTGCAGGCATCAGAGCATGCTATTGAGGAATTCCATAAGCTGGCCAGCTACCTCATCAAGAAGTTTTCGTACGTAACACTTCCTTCCAGTTATTCCAGAAATATGACAAGCAGTCCTAAAAAATTGTGGATAACTTAGTGACATCTAATTTTAGTAGAAATATGTGAGGGGTGATCAAAAAGTTCGCGAACTATCTCTATATCTATAAAACCACAATTCAGATTAGAAAATAAATTGGTACACACATAACCATACACAAGTTCTATAAATAGCATATGCTGAATAAAGTTTTGCTCCTTGTTTGTGACGTCACAATGTGAAAATGACGTCACTATGTAGGTCACTTGTGATGAAAAATGGTTGTCTCAGTCCTACTCGTTCAACAAACGACTGTAAATTTTATGGTTTATCTGAGAAACCCCTTTTCAGTAGCGTAAAATAATTTGTACACAGTTTATTAAGACAAATGACTTCCTATAAATTCAATCAATGATTGGATTGATCGTTTTAGTGAAGGAAGGCAGATGGTTAAAAATGATACTTGTTATGTTGCCCAGTGAAAGCAAGTTTGAAAAGAGATGTGTTTTTAATTAAGCAATTTGCTATCAAAGACCTCCAATTTACACTTTGAAAAGTAGTTGAATATTTCAACAATTATATAATTATTAAATACCTAAGATATCATTTACTTTAGATTATAAACATATAAGATATGATAAAATGGAGGCACCCATTCTCTATCCACCTTGAATAAACGTCTCTCCCGAGACAGAAAATTTGGGTTTGGATTGTCGTCTTGCTTATTTTTGGAAAGGATATTCTTATCCACCCATTCTGTTGCCGAGATTTAACCATTTCTGATAAATGAACTGTTCTGCTTATAAAAATTAACTAACATGGAAAGAAATTTCAAACTCAGAAAAATCTCTCAGCTTTTGAGACAGAACGCTACAGAGAGGATCACGTGACCGCCTATATCACGTGATTCGGGCATGAGCAGAACGGTGGCAGATGTACATTAAAATCACAGAGGACTAATTTAAAATATAATCAACACTGAACCAAATATTGTTTCTTTTACGGAAGTTATTCAGTTAGTTCGCGAACTTTTTGATCTCCCCTCGTATGTACCAATTTATTTGCTTTTTGTTGGACAATTGAAAAAAACTGTTCCAACATTTTGTTTTGAAGATATCTTGTGCCTTTATGTTATATGATGTAATAATTTTTTTGCAGAAATGTGAAGCTGAACAAAACTTTAATGCCTGACTCGCTGTCGCAGGTGAATGACTTTGACATTTCCTGCGTGACGCAGTACACAATGAAAAAGATTCCTGTCTTA